TCAGAAAAAGAAATTGAACAAGCCATTGATGAACTCCCTAGGAAAAAATCTCCAGGGCCAGATGGATTTACATGAATTCTATCAAACATTTAAAGAACAATTAATTCCAATACTATATAGACTATTTGGGAAAATAGGTGAAGAAGGAGTCTTACCAAATTCTTTTTATGATACAAATATGGTGTTGATACCTAAACCAGGAAGAGTCAAAATAGAGAAAGAAAATTATAGACCAATTTCTCTAATGAATATAGATGCAAAAATTTTAAACAAAATACTAGCAAATAGATTGCAGCAACTTATCACAAGAATAATACACTATGACCAGGTAGGATTTATACCAGGAATGCAGGGTTGGTTCAATATTAGGAAAACTATCAGCATCATTGAGCATATCAACACAAAACCAACAGAAACCACATGATCATCTCAATAGATGCAGAAAAAGCTTTTGATAAAATACAACACCCATTCCTATTAAAAACACTAGAAAGCATAGGTATAAATGGAGTCTTCCTTAAAATAATAAATAGCATATATCTAAAACCTTCAGCAAGCATTATATGTAATGGGGACAGGCTAGAAGCATTTCCAATAAGATCGGGGTGAAACAAGGATGTCCATTATCACCACTGTTATTCAATATTGTACTGGAAACCTTAGCTTTAGCAATAAGAGAAGAAAAAGAAATTGAAGGCATTAGAATAGGCAAAGAAGAAACAAAGCTATCACTCTTTGCAGATGACATGATGATATACTTAGAGAATCCTAGAGAATCAAGTAAAAAACTACTTGAAATAATAAACAACTTTAGCAAAGTTGCAGGCTATAAAATAAACCCACATAAATCATCAGCATTTCTATATATTACCAACAAAGCCCAACAGCAAGAGATAGAAAGAGAAATCCCATTTAAACTTACTGTAGACATTATAAAATATTTAGGAGTCTACCTCCTGAAACAAACCCAGGAACTCTATGAACACAATTACAAAACACTTTTCACACAAATAAAATCAGATCTAAATAATTGGAAAAACATCAGTTGCTCATGGGTAGGCCGAGCTAATATAATAAAAATGACAATCCTACCTAAGCTAATTTACTTATTCAGTGCCATACCAATCAAACTACCAAAAATTATTTTATAGAGTTAGAAAAAATAATAACAAGATTCATTTGGAAAAACAAAAGGTCCAGAATATCAAAGGAACTAATGAAAAGAAATGCAGGGGAAGGTGGCCTAGCAATTCCAGATCTTAAATTGTATTATAAAGCAGCAATCATCAAAACTGCTTGGTACTGGCTAAGAAATAGGGAGGTGGATCAGTGGAATAGGTTAAATATGCAAGACACAGTAGTCAATGACTATAGTAATCTATTATTTGATAAACCCAAAGACCCCAGCTTCTGGGATAAGAACCCACTCTTTGAAAAAAACTGCTGGGAAAACTGGAAAAGAGTATGGCAGAAACTAGGCATAGACCCAAATCTCACACCATATACCAAAATAAAGTCAAAATGGGTTCATGACTTAGATATAAAGGCTGATACCATAAGTAAACTGGGAGAACAAGGAATAGTTTACCTATCAGATCTATGGAGAACAGAAGAATTCATGACCAAACAGGAGATAGAGAACATTATGAAAAGCAAAATGGATAATTTTGATTACATTAAATTGAAAAGTTTTTGCACAAACAAAGCCAATGCAACTAAGATTAGAAGGAAGGTAGAAAATTGGGAAAGAATTTTTACAACCAGTCTCTCTGATAAAGGCCTCATTTCTAAAATATATAGAGAATTAAGACAAATTTATAAGAACACAAGCCATTCCCCAATTGATAAATGGTCAAAGGATATGAACAGACAGTTCTCAGATGAAGAAATTAAAGCCATCTATAGTCATATGAAAAAATGCTCTAAATCGTTATTGATTAGAGAAATGCAAATCAAAACAACTCTGAGGTACCACATCACACCTATCAGATTGGCCAACATGACAAAACAGGAAAATGATAAATGTTGGAGAAGATGTGGGAAAATTGGAACACTAATACATTGTTGGTGGAGTTGTGAAATGATCCAACCATTTTGGAGAACAATTTGGAACTATGCCCAAAGGGCTACAAAAATGTGCATACCCTTTGATCCAGCAATAGCACTTCTAGGGCTATATCCCAAAGAGATCAAACAAATGGGAAAAGGACCCACATGTACAAAAATATTCATAGCAGCTCTTTTTGTGGTGGCAAAGAATTGGAAATTGAGAGGATGCCCATCAATTGGGGAATGGCTGAGCAAGTTGTGGTATATGAATGTAATGGAATACTATTGTGCTATAAGAAATGATGAACAGGCTGACTTCAGAAAAACCTGGAAAGACTTATATGGTCTGATGCTGAGTGAAGTGAGCAGAACCAAGAGGACTTTGTACACAATAACAGCCACATTATGCGATGACTAAGATTGTTAAACTGAACCCTTCTCAGCATTACAAGGATCTAAGACAACTCCAGAGGCCTCGGTTGGAAAATGCTGTCCACATCCAAAGAAAGAACTATGGAAGTTGAATCGCTATCACTTATTTTTACTTTCTGTTGAGTTTTGTTTCATTTTTCTGATGGTTCCTCCTATTGGTTTTAATTTTTACTTACAACTTCACTAACGTGAAAATATGTTTAATAGGAATGTAAATGTAAAGCCTGTGTCAGATTGTGTGCTGTCTTGGGGAGGGTGGGGGAGAGGAAGGGGGAGAAAAATTTTCAACTCAAAAGCATATAGAAGTGATTGTTGATAAATCAAAATAAATTAATAAAATTTAAAAGAGAGAGAGAGAGAGAGAGAGAGAGAGAGAGAGAGAGTTCTGTTTTGGACCCATTGAGGTTGAGACACCTATGATAACATCCAGTTAAAAATGTGTTATATAAGGCTGGTAAAGCATAACTGGACCTCAGGAAAGAGGATGGGGCTGGATGAAGAGATCAGGAAGCATCTGCAGAGAGATAATAACAGAATCCATGGAGCTGATGAGATCACCAAACGAGAGGCAGAGGGAAAAGAGAAGAGATCTCAGGACAGAGCCTTGGGGGACACCCACAGTGAATGGCATGACATGAATGAAGAGCCAGGAAAAGAGACTCAGAAGGAGGAGAATCAAAAGAGTATGGCGTCATGAAAACCCAGAGAGGAGAGATTGTCCAGCAGAAGGTGATCAACAGCGTCAGATGATGCAGAAAGTTCAAAGAGATTGCAGACAGAAAAAGCCATTAGACTTGGCAATTAAGAATAATCGGTAACTTTGGAAAAACCACTTTCAGTTGAACAGTGAGGTCAGAATCCAGATTGCAGAAGACTGAGAGGAAAGTAAGAGGTGAGGAGGTAGAGAGGGTAGAGAAACCAATTATGGACAGCTTTTTCAAGGAATTTAGCTGAGGAGAGGAGGAGAGACGGAAGATGATAGCTGGAAGGCATGGTAGGATCCAGGAAGGATTTTTTTTAAGGATAGGAGAGAAAGTAGAATCAATAAATAGAGAAGAATTAATAATTAGGGAAATAGTGGGGAATGACATTGGAGTCAATCTGCTAGAGAAGACGAGGAGATGAGATCAATATGTATGTAAAGGAATTGGCCTTAGCAAACAGAAGAGCCATTTTATCACCACAAACCACCTTTTTGTGCAGTTTACCATTAGCTATGAGTTGGATGGTATGTTATTACATATAGCCCACTATGGATGTTGTGAAACCTACCAACAAGTCAATGGCAACCTACCACCAGTCACCCAGAGAGCCCTTCAGGTAAGTGACTGTCTGGTTGTCCATGAAAGACCATTGTTCTCTTTCTGATTACAAGAAGAATGGTCTTTTGGCTGGAACTCATGGGTTTGGAGCATGTGTACCACATTTAAGTGTACTGTTAATTCAACTGGGAGGTCTGTAGACCAAAAGACTGAGCTTGGGAGCATGCCCAGAATCCCAGTGCTTCACCAGTAGAAGCCACACAGCCTCACTCTTGTTACCCCCAGGGGTAAGGGACAGGAATGTGCCCTGTGACCTTAGCAGCATAGAAACATGTGTGTCAGTGCTAGAAGGGGGAGCAGGCTTGGTTAAAAGCAGTTGTTGAACAGGAAAATCTTTGTGCAAACTACTCATGGCCTGAGTGTAAATTCTGATGATCGTAGTTGATCCTCTTTCATCCACAAGGTTTGACCTTCTTTGTTGACTTCAATTCCTGATTATCCTCTTGATACCTTCTCATTAAGTGGTCTGAGGCAACCAAATTTGGGGACCCTAGTTTTCCCTAAACAGTTTCAGACAGTGGCAAGATCATGCTGTTGACCTAGGCTATGTCCTCTTGGCATGCTGACATTTCAGTATGGCAAAATCAAAAGAGCACTGGCTTTTGAAGCCAGAGGACCTGAGTTCAAATTCCCCAGCTCCTTTCCCTCATCACCAGTACTTAATAGCTGTGTGACCTTTGGGCAAAATGCTTAACCTCTCTGGACCTCTGTTTCCTTATATATAAAATATGGGAGTGGGATTAGAGGGTTTCTAGGCCCCTTCCAGCTCTAGGTGATGGCGCTGTGCTGTACTTTCACTATCCTTTGGAACCTGATTCACTAGTCACAATTCTTCAGTTGCTCTTATCATTCTTTCAGGTACTGTAAAGGAAAAGGCCAGAGTAACCCACTAAGAAGGAAATTATCCTCTGAAGAGCTATGATAAGGAGCAAGGTTCCTGTTATTTCCTGGAGTAATCTTGTTGGGCTATGTGGCTTTCCCAACACATCTACTGAAAATGCCACTAGAAGAAGCTGAGATGCCATGAACAACTCTCATTTTTCATTATACTACTCAAGACTCAGAAGATAATTATAATATTATTAATTATATTCTTTCTTTTAAATATTTAGCCCATGCAGTGTGTGTTTACCTGAACTGTTGTTCATTTAAAAAATATATTTATTTAAATCTCTGTTTTTCCTGATTATATTTTAGGTGATGTACCATGTAAAAACCTATACAAGATTCCTCTCAGAAACCTTGTTGGCAGAAGCATTGAGCGACCTCTCAAGTCACCCTTAGTACCCAAGGTCATCACGACCCCAACGTCAGTGGGGATTGGCATAGCAGCCATTCCTGTCACTCACTCCTTATCCCTGTCTCGGATGGAAATTAAAGAAATAGCAAGTAGGACACGAAGAGAACTACTAGGTAATTTCCTATGGATTTGTAGCATCTTTATTTTCAGATCTACCAGTGATTTTTTTTTTAAACATCAGTCAACCTTCTGTGAATAAAGGGTGAAAAGGTGAATTTCTCTAATCAGAAAGCTGGTTTAATTCATCTTAGTAAACATTTATTAAATGCCTACTATGTGCAAGTCAATGTGCACTGATGAAACAAGACAAAAATAAGACAGTCCTGCCCTCAGGGATCCTACTTTCTCCTTGGGAGGCATAGCCTGTTCAGAGAGAAGGAAATCTGACATAGTTTGAAGGGTGTGAGGAGAAAATTCGAACAACAGGATGCAAAGGAAAGAGCTCTAGGTGTGAAGTCAAAGGACCTGGATTTGAATCCAGGCTTGGTCATACAAGGTCACATTATGACTTTAGATAAGTCACTTAACCTCTGTGAGTCTGCCATCTTCTCAGAGGTAAAAACGAGGCTTTTAGCCTGTATCACCTCTCTGGGTCTCAGTTTCTTCCTCATTTGTACAATTAGAAAGTTGGACTAAGTGGCCATGAGGTTCCTTTGAGCTCTAAAGCAGTGCTCTTCCAATGAGCATTTGATCAAGGAAGACCTCCCAGAGGTTGCACCTGAGTTGAGACTTGAAGGAACATCAGGACCCTAAGAGGAAGACAACTAAGAAGGGGTGCACTCCAGGCCTGGGGAAACATTCAGAGGTTAGGGATTGGCAGTCTGGTTTAGGGACAGCAGGCAAGAGTCCAGTTTGTCAGAAATATCAAGTGGACAGAAGGGAGAAATATGAAATGAGCCCAGAGAGGGAGGATGAAGCCAAATTATGGAGGTCCTTCAATATACCTGGCATCGCCTATACACAGAGGGAGCCGAAGGAGGTTTTTTAATAGGACAGTGATATGGCCAGGCCTGTGCCCTTGGAAGATGGTTTTGGCAGCTGTGGGGTGGATGATTGGAAAGGGAGAGTGTGAAAACAGGGACACCAGTTAGGAGTCTGTTTTAATAGCCCAGGTTATAAGACCACAGATTCAGAGCTAGAAGGAGCCCTAAAGGCCTTCAAGGCCAACTCTCTAATTTTACAAAGAAGGAAGGAACTGAGACCCAGAGAGGTTATGAGATTTGCCTAAGGTCACAGAGTAGAGCTGGGATTTGAACTCAGGTTCTGTGATTCCAAATCCAGTATTATCCACTATACCATGCTATCTCTCTGCCAAATGTCAGGTGATATGTACATGAAATAAGGCCATGGCTGTGTGTATGGAGAGAAGGAGGTAGATGCAAGAGAGGTGGCAAATTTGGAATCAGTGGTATATGTCAACTGATTGGAGATGGGAAGGGAAAGGAAAGAATCAAGGATGACTTCAGAGTTACATACTTGGGGTTAGTACCCTCAAAAGCAACCCTCAAAACCCCTTTAAAGAAAGGGTTGGATTCAGGAGAGAAGATGATGAGTCCTGCTTTGGAACTCCAGGTAGAGGTAGTTGGTATTTCATGCTTGTTCAGTTGAATACTGGAAGGCCTAAATTCAGAGTAAAGATAAGGGCTGGATGCTCAGGATAAAACCTTGGGGTAGGACATTAATAATAATCCAGCAAGTAAGACTGAGAAGGAGTGGTCAGGCTGATAGAAGAAAAAACCAGGAGAAAGTAATAGCATGGAATACAAGGGGGAAAGAAGAGGCAATCATTAGTGTCAAAAACTGAAGACATGTTAAGGAGCATGTGGACTGAGAAAAGGCAACCAAGCTTAGCAGTTAAGAGCTCATTGTTAATCTTTGAGTGAACAGTTTCAATCAAGGGTTGAGAACAGAAGCCAGACTAGACTGCAAGGTTTAAGAAGTGAGTAAGTGGTGAGGAGGTGAAGGTGATGGGTGTAGGTGACTCTTTCTAGCAGTTTGGCAGTCAAGGGAGAAGAGATATTGGATGACAGTCTGAGGGTAGAGGGAAAGTTAAGTGAAAGGTATATTGTTTTTTTGTTTTTCATGTGAGGAAGACTTCCCCATGATTGGAGGCCTTGGAGAAGTAGGTAATAATAGATAAGGAGAGTTTGGAGATAAGAGACCTAGACCAAGAGAAAATACATGAATAATGAGGTAGGCCTCCAGTTTAGGCTTTGGTAAATAGAAAAGCCATTTTTTTCCTCAAAGATAGGAACAAAGAAGTAGAGGATTGGTAAAGGTATAGAAGGCCTCTGTTTTCTCAGTCAAGTAGGAGGCAAGGTCATTTGGATAAGGGAGGAGGGGCCTACGCTTGATAAGAGAAGATTTGGAATGGCTGGATGGGGAACCCCAGAGCAGAAGGTAAATCAGGAAGGAATATGGCCCAGTAGATAGTGTTAATTTGTACTCAGTTCAGGGACACTGGGAGACAAAAAGATATTTAGTGAGAGCAACAAAGGGTAGAGGATGGGCTGGACTTAAATGGCAGGAAACAAAGGGGCAAGGCATTCAAAGGCAGAGCACAATGTATAATTGAATTGGATTAAGGCTGTTGAGGAAGGAAAGTGAGACCAGAAGAACTGGAACTTGTGTGGAATGAGTAAAGGTGACCTGGAGGATGAAGAATAGAAGAATTTGGCCCTGGGAAAAATGGAAGGATAACAAATTATAATCAGGAAAGGATATTTCAAAGTCCAAAATCATGGAGCGTTGACATTTTGTGTTGATAGTAAGATATATAGGTAGTGGTGGTGAGGAAAAGATATAGAAATTAAAGAGGTGAATGAACTGGGGTGGAGGAGACATGTTTGAGAGAATATCACTGTGTATATCGAAGTCCCCAAGTATAAGAGAAGTGGTTAGAAAGGAGAAGAAGACTGTAAGACCCAGGTACTGTGCTCCACAAGAAAAGAATAGCCTGGAAGCCAGTAGATTTACAGCCCTAAGTCTGGAGTGAATGTTATAGGTGGATGCAGTTAACCTTAAAAGAAGGATACAAAGTGATAGCAGAAGAATGGTTTGGAGATGGCCATGAGAAATAAGGTATATGCCTATTCCTCCTTCTGGCCCAGTGTTTTGGAGAATAAAGAGCAACTTGCGCTAAAGAAGGTAGCCAGGGATGAAGTTTCTTCTGGAGGAAGCTGTATGAGAACAAGAGAATGGAAAGAACATAGAAGGAAAAGTTCTAGGATGAAGAAAAATTTGTCAATGAGGTGGTGGATGTTCTAGGGACCACAGTAGAAGGGCAGGGCGTGGGAGGAGTAGAGTTGAGACTAGATGGAAATGAGGATATTAGAGAGGTATTTTTGCCAGCAAACAGTAACTCTCAAGCACAAAGGTTAGGGGAGCAGGAGAAAATAGGAGCCAGAAAATAAAGGGAAGTACTAACTGTTTGGGAACCCTACCTGTGGAAATTTTGTGTTGAAGGACTGTTGAATTGATTGAGGCAAAGAAGGGGCATCAGTATCCTCAACATATTATTTCTCCAAACACAGGAGAGTTGGGGATGTGAGCAGTCAAGAGAATAGGAAAAAATGCCTGGGTCACTGGGTCTGGTTCAAGTTCTGAGCTGGGTGGCTGTTATCTGGCCTCGGCAGCTCTGGGCCAGGTAGCCTGGATCCAGATGGATAACTCTGTTGCTGGACAGCTCTAGACTTTCATGGTTATGAAAGGAGAAAAGAGAGAACCGGTAGAATATCTGCCAATGATAATGACAGCCCACAATGCTATGTGGTGAAGGCATCCTCTAATCCTGGACTGCTACAGCTGTGCTTTTCCTTTCCTCTAGTGGGAATGGCCTTTACATTTGTGGTAATGTGAAGAGGGAGAATGAAGCAGCGATAAAATGTCTATGAATGTATATGAGAGCCTGCAGAGTTGTTTTGGCAATATTATAAAGATAATTAGGTCTCCCTAGTTCTTAGCAAGCCACTTAGGAACTAATGACCTGTCATTCTTAATACACAAGTACTAATCAAAGAAAACCAAATGTTATTTGTCAACTCCTTAGTAGTCGGCCTGGGTTCTGATCAAGGATCCTGGAGTAACCCTGATCTTGAGAATATTTCTGTGTTCCTCTGAACTAATCTTTTCCTCCTGAGTCTAGGCCTTTCCGATGAAGTTGGACCCAGGTCCGAAGGAGCACCAAAGCAGAAGACAACATCTCGAAAGCAGCTGGAAGGGGAGCCCAAGCAGGGAGCAGTGAGGTCAACAAGCAGTGACAGGTAACCTGATATTCTGGGCCAGTCCAATCATTTAGTATTGGGATTAGAATGAAATAAGGCACTCATGGACCTTAAAATGCAACGACAATGTTACTTAAATGATGCAATTCCTAAAGTTAAAGATCAATCAAGCATTTGTCAAGTTCTTACTATGTATGCTAGGTGATGTACTAGGTGCTGGGGACAAAAAAAATACATAAATGAAACATTCCCTATTTGCAAGGATACTAATTCAAGTCAAACTCTATTCCTCTTTACCTCCATATTCACCATGGCAACTGGCCAGGCTAGGTCAGAAAGGCATTCCATCAAAGCTATGGCTGTTCCACTGGAACTTCCAATATCAACTTTCCACATGCTAGACCTTTTATCCCATAAGTGATGAGGAAGCCAAATAAGCTCCTGAGAATGGCCTCCCAGATTCCTTAAAAAGAAACTACATAAAACATCTCCTTCTTTCATTCCTGCCACACCTGAGCAATCCACTCTAACATTTCATCTAGTGGGTGATTAAAACTGGGTAGATTAAAATTGGTTTTGACAGGTAGATTGATGAAATTGAGGTTCTTAGTGCCTGTCTGATCATCATACCGCATCATTTTGCACTGAAATGTGGCTTGCCAAAAGGAATTAAATATCAGAAGAAATGTCCTCATTCAATCCTTCTGATAATCCCTTCTGAGAGATAGAGATGGTGGAGAAGCCCATCAGTACTCTGGAGGAAGATGAGCTAGATCCGTATCTTAGCTCTCCTGTTTTCTACCTGTTGTACCTTGGCCAAGTCACTAGAGCTCCCTACCCTTCATTTCCTCATCTTCAGAACTAGAGAACCAGATGAAGTGATGCCTGAAGTCTCTTCTAGCTTCAAGTCTAAGATCTCTGACCCTTTGAAGGCACCTATATCATGGTATCTGGCAGCAATAACTACATCTCAGAGGCAAAAATCAGGTGTAGCTGAAGGAAAAGGGAGCAGTGCATTAAAGAGATAGCATCTGCAGTAGATCTTGAAGTAAGAGAACCGAAAAGGCCAGAGATTGGGGCAAGTACAATTTAGGTATGGGGGATGGCCTGCACAAACGCATCAAACAGGCCAGGATCAGAGAATGAAGTCATCTAGTTTTCTACATGTAGAAAAGAACTATGGTGGGAAATTTTTTTCCAGGATGCAGTGATTTGCATCTCTGTCAATCAGTTTTGCTTTATGAACCTAAGTGTACCAAATTTCACCAAAATGTCAATGTTCTGTACGTTAGACTCCAACACTCTTTCCTGTAGTAGGCTGTAGCAACCTATGGCACAGATGTACAAAGATTAGCTTATCAACCACAGCACAGAGTACTGGAAGCTGATGCTGGGTCAGCAGGACGCCCCCTTATCAGAGCACAGAGAATGGGGCCCATTGGCTCCCTCTTCCCCTGGCCTGCCCAAAGAGCCCAACCTTGAGGAACAAGATGTCAAAGATGTCAGAGTAGGAAGCAGCTACAATGTAGCAGGCAGTTCTGCCCGAAAGTAGGTTTGTTACTAAAAATACAGAAAGTGAAGAGGTCTAGAGGTTTGGGGCGCTCCTAGGAACCCTGAGATTGCAACGCCGGCCCTGCCTGAAAGAATTCAATTCAGATCTTCTTCCAGCCAGAGGAAAAGTTTTTTAGTGATAAAACATGTAAGCCAGGTGACGCCCATAAGGACGAGCAGGCATGAGAAAAGCTCAGCCTTTTGGGCATGAGAGATTCTCAGCATCTGAATGGAGGCCAGGGTGGATCTTAAATATGCTAAAGTAACTTTGGGTTTCCAGGGTCTAGGTAAGAATTCCAGTTGGAAGGTCTGAGAGATTGAATAGACAATGGGAATAGATAGTGAAGGGAACTGGAAGGCAGAAGTTTGAAAGGCATCTGCACAAGATCAAAAGGTGGGGCCATAAGGAACCATTTGAGACCACAGTAAGAGCTTTCGGGGCCCATAGACAAAAGGGAGCCAGATTCTTTTTAGGGCAAGGGGCAAAGGCGCATCTGAACAAGATTAAAAGGTAGGGCTAAGGCTTTCAAAGGATGATGAGGAGCTGGTGCCTATTGACAAATGGGAGCCAGATTCCATTTGGTGCAAGGGGTGAAGATCTCAGCTTGGGCTCACACCCCATCAGAAGGACACCATAATCCTGACATTTTTCCCATCTTGCTGTCCTGCCAGTCAGGTTTTCATTCACATCACCCCATTGGAACTCGATTTCCTCCCCCTTTAAAATGAGGCTCACCTAAATGGTCTCTAACGTTCCTGTTTGCCTCCAAACCCTCTGAACCAGTGCTATGCCACACTGCCTAATGCCATGTTTATCGCAAACTGATCATATCCTCCATATCAGACTGTAAACCCACTGAGGGCATGCATTGCTCCATTTCTCATCTTTGAAAATCACAGTTCCTGCACGTAGCTGATACTTAACGTGTTTGTTGAACCGAAGATAGCAAACAACAGAGCTAAAAATTTGACTACAGGTAATCTAACTTCAAATCCAGAATAAAATATAAAACTCCTCTCTAACATTTAAAGCCTTTTGTATATCCTATTTGGAGGGCTGATTATATTATTCTACCTTTTTACCCCACATTTCAGCTAGAGAGGCCTACTTGCCATTTCTTTTACATGACAATCCACCTCTTTCTTTTCTGCCTTTCCCCAGGCTATGCTCATGCTGGGAAAGTGCTCCCTTCTAATCTCCATCCCTTTGGAATCACTCTCATAGCTCAGCCTAAGTGCTACCTCACAAGAGGTCTTTCCTGATCCTCTCAGCAATCAGCACCTCCTCTCTCCCCCCCAGAAAAACTGCTCAGCATTTATCTTGTATATTTTGTATTTGCTTATCTGTGTACATGTTGTTTCCTCTCAGGAGTAGTAAGCCCTTCAAAGGAAGGGATTGGTTTGTTTGGTCTGCATCCCTAGTACCAGGCCCAATGCATGGCACATAGTAGGCATCACTAAATGTTTGCTGAATGGAATTGAAGTTTGAGTGATCTTCAAACTCACTATGAGTCAACAGTGTGATGTGGCAAACAAGACAGCTGGGGCTAGCCTTGGCTGCCATATAAGGGAGATCTCAAAGTTTCCCTGCCCTGACCAGGCCACATCTGGAGTCCTGGGTTCAGTTATGGGCAGCATGCTCTAAGATGTGCATGGACAAGCTGGAGCTCATCCAGGAAAGAGAAAATAGGATGATGAGAGGACTAGAGACCATCACATATGAAGATTAGTGAAAGGAGTTTAGTATAGTTAGGGGGAGATTTGTGGGGGACTTGATAGCAGTCTTCTGGGGGCAGCTAGGTGGCACAGTGGATAGAGTACTGGCCCTGGAGTCAGGAGGACCTAAGTTCAAATCTGACCTCAGACACTTGACACTTGACACTTTACTAGCTGTGTGACCATGGGCAAGTCACTTGACCCCATTGCCTAGCCAAAAAAAAAAAAAGCAGTCTTCTGGTACTTGAAGAGCTAATGTGTGGAATGTACTATGGCTTGGCTCCCATAGGCAGCATTAGAGGCAATGGTATGTTATAAAGAAACAGTGTTATAGAGACGACTCTTGGGCTAGAGAACTTCAGAGCTACCTGCAATCCAGTCTAATAGACATTCATTGTTTTTGTTCATTCATTTTCAGTCAAGTCCAACTCTTTGTGAGCTCATTTGGGGTTTCTTGGCAAAGATGCCAACAGTTTGCCGGTTCCTAACCCAGCTCACTTCACAGATGAGGAAGCTGAGGCAGACAGGGTTAAGTGGCTTGCCCAGGCTTACACAGATATAAGTGTCTGAGGCCGGATTTAAACTCAGGTCTTCCTGACTCCAGGCCTGGCGCTCTATCTAGCTGCCCCAGACATTAATTAAATACCTACTATGTGCTTGGTGCTGGGAATACCAATGCAAAAACGAAAACCAACGAGCTCATATTATGCTGAAGGATAGAGACACAAGCCACAGGACTTGACAAATGGCTGCATGTGGTAAGTGAGATACTCAGCAGGCAGTTGGCAATACTGGTCAGAAGAGAGATAAAAGCTAGATATATAGCTTTAGAGTCATCTGCATTGAAATGTTAATTCAGTCCATCAGGGCTGATGAGAGCATGTCACTAAATAAGTATTAAGTGTCTACTAGGTACCAAGGCACTATACTAAATACTGGGGATAAAAAGAAAGGCAAAAGAGACTCCCTCACAGTCTAATAAGGCAAACAAGTATGTACAAACAAGATATATACAAGATAAATTGAAGATAATTAATAGAGGGAGGGTAGTTGCATTAACGGGGAATCAGGAAAGGCTTCCTGTAGAAGACAGGATTTTAGATGGGACTTGAAGGAAGTCAGGGAGGCCGTGAGGCCAAGATGAGAAAGGAGAGCATTCCAGGCATGGGGAACAGCCGGTGAAAATGCACAGAGCCTGAAGGGGGAATGTCTTGTTCAAGGAGCACTGTGATAGGGGAAAGGGAGGTAAGACTGAAAGGACAGAAGGCCAGGTTGTGAAGTGTTTTGAATGCCAACTGGAGGATTTTATATTTAATCTTGTAGATGATAGAATGAGGAAAGACTTGAGGGAGGGTGACCAGTTAGCAGACTATTACAATAGTTCAGATTTTAGATGGCAAGGAACTGTACCAGCATGGTGGCAATGTCAGCCAGAAGGGAGCATATGCAAGAGGTGTTATGAGGGTAGAATTTACAGGACTTGGCAACAGATTGGATGGGGGTAGGAGAGAGGTGGTGAGAAAGAGAGTGAGAAGTCAGGGATATAGAGAAAGAAGACAATTCTTCCCATTCTTGGATTCTGTGAATTTTAGATTCTATGAGTCATCAAAGATGACTGATGTTTTGAACCTGAATGACTGGGAAGATAATATCAGGGCTGGATATGTGAACTTGTAAGACTTCTATTGGATTGAATCAGTATTTCACAAAAGAATAAGTATATATTCCCAATTAAAGCAAGAGTAATTTTACTTAAAGTGATAGGTACAATAAAAAGACAAAGTGCCTAGGCAAAGGATATTTGTTATTAATACATCACCAAATACCCTTGAGCTAGATAAACAGAAATCTCATCCCTCCCAGCCCCCACCTCTCACCACCCAAGTGCTGGTGCTTCTGCATCTAGAACATACAACTTTTATTCTCAGGGTGGATGCCTCACTTACATGTTATGCAAAAACTGAGGATCTCAGCCTTTTGGAGAGTGGGAGAGAATAGTGTAAGGGAGGTATAGTCTTCAGTATACTGCTCTAGTACACCAGAGGATGTCATCCAATTACTGTATAATGGTTAAGTGTCTTAGAACAATGATAGTTACTGACCAAGTGCTATATAAGCATTTCATGTCTTAGGCTGTAACTCATCGTATATGAAGCCTCCTTGGGTTAAGTATCTGTTCCTGTTCTAATGTCCTGTCCCAGGATATTTCCTGCTGACCTTATGTTACCTTATGAAGTCAGGGTTCAGTTAACAAGTATGTATTAAGTGCCTACTGAATGCCAGGCTCTGTGCTAAATATTGGAGATACAAAGAAAGGCAAATATCACCAGAAGCAGCAAACAAAAAAAAAACCCAGAAAACCCAGCCCCTCCACTCAAGGAGTCTAATGGAAAAAAGAAGGAAGAGGAGGAGGGACATGTAGATATGGCTTTTAAGGCAGAGAAGAAGGGATATGAGGGGGCTCATATTGTATGGCTTCAGGCTTCTTAGTAAAATAGGAGGCAAGTGTATCTGAGAAAAAGGTTCGGAGTAGCTACTGGAGAATCAGTCCAGGATAAATAACAGGAGTAACAAGGGTCAGGTTAAAGTAAGATAACAGTCAATATGTTATGGACTTGGTGTGATCACATGACTTCACCCTGCAGTGATTACTGAAATGAAGTAGATCCGTGGGCAGAAAAAGCAAATTGTAGGATTACCTAGAGTTAGGGATTTGCAAGACTAGAACAGACAAGTACCTGGTTAGAGAAGAAGAGATGCAGGTTCATGGTTAGAGAAGATATGAGGGCAGTAGGGATTCAAAGGTAGAAGACTATAGAATCAAGACTGATGGAAATAAAGTGAAGCTTGAAAAGGGATAGTGGATAGGGATAACAAAGAGAGATTAAGGGGCAGGAGGTCAAGATAAATTTGATGAATAGATTCATGAGAAGTGAAGTGGGAGAAATAGAACAGGAAATTGTAATCAGAGAAAATTATTTCAGAAAGCAGAATCTTGGATATGGAGCCATTATTGGTGGGGTTGAGGTGAACAAGCCTGTGAATGGCCAGGCTATAGTAAAGATGGTATTCATGAAAGTCAAAGAGGTTGAGAAATTGAATGGGCGAAGGTATTAGATGATAAACTGCAGAATCTATCATTAAACAAACTTGACAAATATTTACTAAGTGCTATATGCAATAAAGGCACTCTCTGCTCATTACTGGAAATTAAAAAAAAAATAGGACCTGGCCTCTGTTTTTAAAGAGCTAATAATCTAATGAAGAGGGAAAGATAGGTACACAATTAACTGTGATACGTAGGAGTATGGGATAAATGCAAAGGAGAGGTCCAGATAAATTACTTTGAAAAACCTGAGGAAGGAAAGATCATTCTTTCCTAATCAAAGATAGAGATATTGATAGCTATCCACAAGGGTAGAGATATTGTTGGAAAGCTTACAAAGTGACTAATAGCCCTTTCTCTAAAGTACATTTAAAACTATTCTTTGAGTGGCCAAAGGATATTCATATTCGTCTTCAGAGAATAAAAGCAAATTATCAATAATTATATGAAATATTGCTTTAAACCACTAAGAATGAGAGAAACTCTAATTAAAACAATTCTGAGGTTTTACCTCATACCCATCAATTTGCCCAAAATGATTTAAAACAAAAATGGAAGCTGTCCGTGTTGGAGAGGCTACAGAAAGATAAAGTACCTACTGTGTGCTAGCCATTGTGCTAAGTGCTTTACAGATATTTCATTTGAGCCTCACAACAACCTTGTGAGATAGGTGCTGTTATTATTACCATTGTACAGTTGAGGAAAATAAAGGTTGAATGACTTACCCAGGGTCACACAGCTAATAAGTGTCTGAGGATAGATCTGAACTCAGGTCCTCCTGTCTCTAGGCCCAGCACTTTGTCTGCTGTGTCCACTTTGTCACCACCTTTAATATGGAGTTGTGAATTGGTCCGGCCATTCTGAAAATCAATTTGGAACTACACAAATAAAGTCACTAAATTGTTCATACTCTTTAACCCCACATCCCACAAGTGCCCCAAGGAAGACAGTGATGGAAAAGTCCTATATATGACAAAATATCCATAGCAACATTCTTTGGGGTAACAAAAGAAAGGAAAAAAAAGCCAAGCTGATGGCCCTGGGGTGGAAACCTCTAACTGTCAGTTCTGGTGGCTGTGAATCTGTGGGTCCAATTTTGCTTCTACCCCCACCCACAACCCCAGTCTAGTTCCCTTCTCTTGAAATCTGACTAATGGATCTGTCTCGGACTTTGCTTCTGGCTTTGTCCCTGCCCACTTTGGCCTTGCTGCCTCCCTTATTTCCTCCTCTTACTGCAACAAGAAGTCTACACTGCAACCCAGAAATGGTATCTCTCTGGTCAGTTACCACTATGGCTACACACATAGTTACCCACAGCTACACACATTCACCTCTCAGACCTAATCTGTCAGCGGCACGATCGAGAGCCCTCCATGCAGCTGACTGGCCCTGACCTGTGAATGGGGACCCGGTCTCCGTGGAACTCCTTCCTGTACATCCTGGCTGTGTGTGCAGCAGGAGTGGCTCCTTGGGTGGTATACAATTCGTGTCATAACACTTCAGCCATCGGTGTTGGAAGACTGTTAAACTATGAATATATTAACCTAAGGTGTATCATGGCCTCAGGTCAGGAATAGGTCAGTCTCTGTGTGAGAGAGCATGCAAAGTATGTGCTTGTGTCAGAGACTTCTCTTGGGCCTGCTGCAGCTCCTGCACATGTTTCAACAGCCAAGGGTGAAAAACCCAACTGCACAAGGATAGGATGAGGGAGGCATGGGGAGACCACAGTTTGTCTGAAAAACAATCTGGGGGTTTTAGTATACTAGAAGTTCAGTATGTCACACAACAGCTAATTTTTAACTGTTTTAAGAGAAATGTCCTGCTTTATACTCTGTCCAGGTTAGACCCCTTCTGGGTTTGCGGGCAGCTCTGGACAGCTTATTTTAGGAGGACCAGTGATAAATTAGAACAAATATATTTCCCAAGGCAACACATTCTACTTTTGGATAGTTCTAATAGTTAGGAAGTTTTTCCTTATATTGAACCTAAATCTAACTCAAAACTGGCAGATTCCATCATTGCTAAGCCACTGTACACCCCTCCACACCAAATTTGTGGCTGAGTAAAGGGGTGGAAGGGCATGGAGCATAGTCATAAACATTTGGATCTCTGTGTAGATCTCCTCTGAAATTGTTCCATATGACCTCCTGTATAATCATGACTACATAGGGGTATATACATTAGACTGTTATAAGGTCAGTGTCAGTTATGGACTGGACCCTACTTGACACACTTCCAAAGCTTGTTGGACTAGAGAAGCAATGAGGCATAGTGTGTGTACTGCTGGACTTGGAATCAGAAAAACCAGATTCAAATGGTACATCTAACAGTGTGAGCATGGGCAAGGCAATTAACCTTTCTAAGCCTCAGTTTCCTTTTGCAAAATGGGGATACTGTAGTAGCTGCCTCATAATGTTGTTGTGAGATTCAGATGAAATATGTAAAGTACTTTGAACGCCTTAAATTCAGCGTCAATGACAGTAATTTATGTAAAATTGGATGAGAAAAAAATGGATTTCTTAATATAGCAATTTTAGGACAGCAGTTCCCACTCCATTGTGCCCCAGTGAGGAAGCTAAAAGCTACCTTAATCTGACCGATTATTTTACACAGTAATTTTTCTCTCTTTTCTCATAGGATCCTATCAGGCTCTTTTGAAAGACCTGTTTTTGAAGACAGCTCTGATGGGCGTCTCCTTTCTACAAGTTCAGATCCTGATACTCTGGCCACCAGAGAGGGGAGTCCACCCTCTGGAAGCCCATTTCAGCTCACAGCTTCCTTTGATGAAGATATTATTGACTTGAAGTAAAGACAATCTTAATCATATTTGCCATCTTTATTTTTCTTACAGCAGTTTATACTCTCTAGGAAAGTTTTGACACCACTTCCTGAGGAAAACCGGTCACTGATCTATTGGACCAACTGCTCTGCATATTAGGCCAGTTTGGGTAACTCTTCAACATTTGGTGCCATCTTGATCCTTGCTTTCCCAGTTCAAGTACCATCAGCCCCTCTTGGAATAAAGGTGGTAGATTTCATTGAGGTCTTAGATTGAAACTTTTAATAAAATAAAAGTATTCATTCTTCTTTACCTCAAACCTCTTATATTTGAAATACTTAGATGAACAATTATTTTTCATTACAGTTCTAATTTATTTCACATTATAAGTATTTCGTAGAAATATTTTGTAAAGAAGTCATTTGATTTTATGACAAATAAGAATTTTCTTTAGCTTTGCTTTCTATGACCAAGAAATCCTGCTCCTATTGATAACTCAGTTTTGCTGTGATTAGATATAAAGAAGTAATGCGGTTACACGAAAGTGTGACCAGTTGTTTTCCTGTTCTGCCAGTTCGGTACCCGCTCTTTAGAGGGAAGCTGATTGGCTGGATTTCAGAGGTAGCCTTCCTGATATGCAGAAGAATGAGAATTTGTTGAAAACAAGAGACACTATGATTTCCTTCCGTTAGTGTCCTTGTCTTTTATGTTAGATTTCTTTTTATTTTTAAATCAGAATGTCAAGAAAAAAATCTTCATCTTGAAATATTGTGCATATTTTCTTGTCTTTTCACTAACTACCACCCAAAGGGTGGACCTGCCACTTATGCATGCAAAGATGTATAACGTTGTCATTCCTCCCTAGCTTAGCATACATAAGAGGTTAAGAACAATTTGGGGCTGGGCTGTTACAACAGATTTCATGGTGAAATTTCAGCCTTTTACCTTGGAAAATTGCATTATAATGTAGAGGCAGAGTTAAAATATACGTGATCTTTTTGGTTATAAAAGTTTGATGATCCCCTCCTGACCCTCCCCACTACCCAGTGCTCTCTCCCTTTAGTTCTCCAATTCTGTTGGCAGATTTCTCTCATTTCCCCTCAAGCACAGTCTTAACAACCCTTTGATTTCAGTACATCTGGTTACTTTCCTTTTTTGTGCGTGTGGACCTTTGCTTAGCCACCTATATGGAGAGTGATATAGTCTATACCACACTAAACCTAGCTCTAAAGGGTGATTTCCTACTTTATATATTGATGCAATGAAACATAACAGGTCAGTGATTTTACAGTTTTTATAGTTCAGGCTATGACAGTGTTTTTTAAGCCCACTAACCTGTGAGATACAGCCTTAAATATAAAAACAGAAAGGAAACATGCAATATCAATACTGTCTCCCTAGTTTGCATACTATGGATTACTTGGAAAAGTCCTTACCTCTGCATGGTGAGCTCAGTATTAAACCCCAGAAGAAAGGCCAGATTTTTGTTTGGCAGAGGATGAATGATGGTTGAAAAGAATCATTTCAAAAGCAAGGCCAAGAAGAAGAGTTCTTTTACTTAGGCATCGATTCAGCCTAAAAGCCAAAATAGGAACTGATCCATTAGCTCTTGGAGCATTTATGCTCCAAAGGTCTCCCATCATTTTCTGTTCACCTCCCTGACTCCTGTTTTGTATCATAGTTTTTAAAAACTGTTTTCTAAATGTAATAAGCTTGTTTTTGTCTTCTTCATCCTGTCATTTTTCCTACTTTGGCTTCTCATCCTGATATGTAAGAACCAGCAGTTCCTAAAGGTTGTTTCCATGGAGGGATCGTAAGCGTCAGATGAGCCAGAGTATTTGAGAAGGAGTCACAAATTCAAAGAAGCATTTAGAAATCAGAGAGAAGTACACTAGGGGGAGGGAAGTTGAGCGTAATGCAAAGGAAGGAAACCAGAAGGAGGCCACCACACACGTGACAAGCTATTTCATTCCGAGCCATTTTCACACAGTGAAGATAACAGACACAAAAACCATAAGGAGCAACAAGAAAAAACTTGGAATAGATACTTAAGCTACAGTAGTAGCTAACATGATAGATTGGGATTGTTTTATTTCCAGTATTTAAGAGAAGAATTTAATATTTCTTTATTTTAAGAATCCATTATTTATTTCATCCTCGTGGTACTCCCTCCATCAGTGCAGCTTGTGACCCCTCACATTGCAAAACCAACCCGAAGAGTTCTTTTTATTTAGGCTTCAGTTCAGCCTGAAAGCCAATACAGCAACTGATTCATCAGCTCTTGTAGTTGCTGTAGCCAAAAACATTCCTCAACTAATGGCCACCCCCTGGTGCTGAGCCTCTCTTCCATTAGCTAGGCTGGTCCTGTATCTGTTGCTGGGCCCATAAGAAAAGCCTTTACAACTTGGAAGGACATGCCAAGTTTTTAGATGGCAGGGCCTTCTAAAACCCAGCATCACCTGCACACCATGATAAGAGAGGTTTTAGTGGCAAAGGAGGAACTAGACATCATTAAACATAATTTCTAATTAATGTGCCAAGAGGATAACAAGTGATCAAAAACAAAAATCTGCATAGCACTTGGTCACCTAAATTCGACTCTGTGTGAATAATCATAAAATTAATAAGTGCTGCACAAGGGCTGTAGTTTTAGGCTACATGTTCTAGGTGGTCCTTTCCTTTGTTCTAAAGCACTGAAAAATCTGAAAGTCAGTAACTCAGGTGAATTTCCATTTTTCATAAAATACCTGTGGTATACCTGTTATTGCTACACACATGGTGTGTCAAATTACTATCTTTAAATATGCAGTACTCAGACTTTTGCAAAATGAAATAGATGATATTTCTGGTCATATTTCTAAAATGAAGAATTTTGAAGACATGTTGAAATTCACCTCAGTTACTTACTCCATGTAAGTTAATGAAGAAGACAGGAGGCTTTATAAATGAAAGCATGTGTCTAATTAGATCTTTCAGGGGAAAAAATTGTTTTTGTCATTTGTTACCATATGATTTAGCTTGAAAAGAAATTAGAGAAACTGTAATGGGGATGGGGGTACTTAACTAATGATTGAAAATATGATTCATATCATCTAATATAGTACAACTGAAAACTAGACCTATTACAGAATATCATCTTTGCCTACCTTGAATATGTATCTACCCTGCACATTGATTGTGTAAGAATTAAGGAAGAGAAATTTGATTAGAGTAAATGGTACTATATTCATCAACAGAATTGTTATTGGAGGAGGCAGCATGGTACAATGGAAAGAGTACTGGATTTGGGAGTCAGAGGACATAGGTTCAAATCCTGACCCTGCTAACTTACTACCTTTGTGACCCTGGGCAAGTCATTTAATCTCTCCAGTTCTCTGTTTCCTCTTATATAAAACAGTGGGGTTAGATCAGATGACCACTGAGGGCTCTTCCAGCTCTAAATCTATGAATTTATGAATTAGGGACTGATGCAGAATATTATTTATATATATAATCAAACCTGGACATGAGACATTTGATAAAGTAAATAAGCTTAGGAAATATGAGGTGAAGTGATAGTACAATTACATTGATATGAAGCTGGTACAACAACCATACTCAAAGAATTCATCAAGTATATCCAAAATGTATTGGATTAAAGTCAATCTCAAGGTTCTAGTGTTGTGCCTCAGGGCTCCAGCCTTGGCCTTGGCCTAGTCAATATTTGTTTCAGAAATTTGGATGAAGACACAGAAGACGTACTTGTTGAATATTCAGGTGACACAAAGTTCGGAGGGATGGCCATTAGGATGTGTGACAAAATCAACCCAAAAAGCATCTCAGCAGTCTGAGCCAAAACCAAGAAGATGAAACATAACAGGGTACAGAATTCACTTCTCAATGGATGTGGAAAAAAAAAAAGGAAGCTACTAAACACTTGGAAAACACACAGACCTTATTTTTTAAATGACTAAGAAATCATCCAATAACCACCAACCCAAATGCCTGTTTTTCTTCTACAAAAATTTCATGAGAACAATCCACATACTAACAGCATCATGGACGAGAGATTGAGAAGGGAAGGTCAGGCTTGCGCAAGTGACATGCTACCACAACACCTCTTTACGGTCACATAAGTGACTGAAAGGTGTAGAGAATACAAAATCCTACCATGATTATTGTTTGTTGATTGTAATATAAAAGCTTTTGTTCACTGGAGCAAAATTTAAAGGCTTTTTTCCAGCATGGTGTCTCCCACACATATGTCAAAATCATATAAGATTGCTGGAAGGATTAACGATCTGATTATGAATATTAAGGAGGACATGAAAAAATAGGAGGACATAATTATCAAAAAGTGTTTGCCACTGTCACAGAGGATGTCCAGTGCCAATTCAATGGAAGAGGAATTCCCTAAAGATACTCACGTCCTCTGGATGCTCCTCTTTGCATATGACAATATGCTAACTTCATCAAACTCCAGAACATTGCAGAGCCTCCTAAATGAGGTCCATGATCACTCAAAAGTTCATCTTAACTAGACACAGAAAATAAACTTAAGTAGAAGGGAAAGGATTCCATTTATTCAAACTATGATACGCAGTTGGATGGAAAGCCTTATAGAAGTGATCCATTGGTACATATGGACAGAGACTGAGCATGGACAATAATCCGGTCTAGAAGAGAGAAGGCAGGATCACCTCTGAAAAACACACAAGTGTTTTTATTGCCATGCGCGCGCACACACACACACACACACACACACACACACACATTTCTCCCTGAAACAAAGGCCCATCTTTTTAACATCAGTATTCTTCTAATGATACTGTTTGAGTCATGGAATATCACAGTCTCCACTGCACATGGCCCAACATACAATGAAAAGGCACATGGTAAGCATGATTAGGCTATGTCACACTGGCAAAAATTGCATGCAAGTAGAAGCAAGAAGATGTCATCAGAGAGATGTATGAACAGAAAGAGAGGAGAGCTCATCATGTAACAAGAGTGATTAGTAACTAATGGACTGCCTACAAGCCTACATGAAATCAAGCAATCTACTCCAGCCCTTTGGGGAGGCCCCTCTGTGGAAGATTTCTAGAAGGTCAGAGACAGAAGTTGCACTGGAGGAGAAAGTATGAATGAGTTGCAATCTCCCTTTGGAAGGAATGTCATCATTAATGAGATCATGTATCCATCAAAGTAAAACTAAATGGATAAAGATTGATTACTTGTTTAGCAAAATGAAGTTGGATAGACAACCTAGAGTACAAGAAAAGGGATACCTAACTTAACTGATTTATGCGTAAGACAACTGGGTTTTACTTAGT